CTTTTAACAGTGTGGTACGTGGATTTGCCCAGGATCGAAGTATTTATCTCAGGCGGCTTTTTTTAACCGAACTCATGGGAAAATAAATTAGATTCCGGATCAAGACATACATGATTGCGTATAGGAAATTTCTAAAAACTTCTAATATAAAATTACAAAGTACTAGTTAGATTTTCCTCATACACCACCGGCATCTGCACAAATTGAAGTAACCACAGTGACATGTTTCCTCATTTATTAGGACTCTCCTGGATCATGCATTTCAAAGTTCACCTACAATAATGAAACGCCTTTAAAACTAATACAAAATTTATTAAATGCAAAGAGCGATATTAAACTCAAACCGGTGTCATATTCAAAGGGGGCAACGCATACCGAATTCTCTAAAAGAAAAAAAATACTTCAAGAACTGCAACAGGCCCATTTTGCGATTGTTTTAAGTTGAGGGATGTAAGGAATAACAATTCACAATATTCAGTTCACATAATTTTGGTGTTCATCATGAGCTGTAGACGAACGTACTGGAACTACAAAAAAAGTGAATGCATAAATTGTAGAGAATTTCGTTATCTTCAATTTCTAATAACGATATTTGTAAAAGTACTAGTTTCTGATTTATATTGAGAAAAAATAAACCCGTTTTTTTGGGTTAATATAAAAAAATAAATCATATTTCGGGGTCACAATTTTGGAAGAAATTTTTATGGGGTCATTTGTACTGGCAAAAAGATGAAATTGACGAAAAAAAAAGCTTCACTCGTAATTATTTCATTAATCACACAATTTTCGATCTCTGACGCCTGAACTACTTGGATATATTTAGATATCGTGACAGGTGGGCCATTGCAAATACCTTTCTTCTTCTTCTTCTGTAATCGCTTACCTCTTACAAATACGCAATTATGATTCTATTAAGAAATATCAAAAGTTGACACGTTTGTTAAAAAGCGTGAAACTATCAAAAATAAACTCACAGATTTTCCGAGGGGCTTTCAAAACTTTTTTGGTAATATCAAAGCGGAGGATTCAGGTATCGTATAGAACTACAAATGCGCCTTCAAAGTTCAATAAATGAATTTGAAATAATCCAAGACGATATCGACTGTAGTTCTGATTATATTCTTCTAGAACAAGAAACAAGTTCGAAAAGAGTTTGAAGTTTTTATTGGTTTTTTTCATATTACCCCTAAATTTAGTGACCATTTTGAATCTTCTTGATTTTCACGATTCATTTCAATTGTTAGTCAGATTCAAAAATTTCATTATTTAAAAACAGCAATTTCCGGTGCAGCTGCCAAGGTTATCAACTCGTTACCAGTTTCTTCAGATAATTTTACTGTTGCCTGGAACACAAACTTATCGATTTGCAGTCATACTAAAGCGATTAAATTAATACACCAAAGTGGTAAATAAATCTCCGGAAAATCTTCGAAAGTTAGGATACATAATCTTAGGGCATTGAAAGCTCCTGGTGAACCCATAAAGTATTGGGACACTTTTAAATTACATTGTCCTCAGTAATTCTAATACTATACGTAAATGGGAATCTACAAAACCTATACCAACACTTTCAATCAAGTAGTTGATTTCCTTAAATTTCGAGCTGATATTTTGGAAAAAATTGAAAACAATACAAAAGATACAGAAAAAGAAAAGGTGCCTGGCAAGTATAAAAGTACTAATTTTAAGCCATTTGTGTCGATACGAGCTAAATACCAATATTGCAATGAATCTCATAAAATTTTAAATTGTCCAAGGCTTTAAGTGTTAATCTCAAAGAACAGAAAGTGCAAAAAAGTAGCGATTTTGTTTAAATTGCTTTCATACTATATAAATAAAGATTGTATCTATGGCAAATGTCAAAATGTCAATTTTCTTCGACCCGTATCTGTTGTCCGATAAGTTCTAGAGAAAGATGGCATTTCTTTGGCTTTAAATGTATCTGTCTAAACGGTCATTTAACCACTCATAAGCATCTTGTACAGCTAGCGCAATTAAATTCAGATACTGGACAAACCTTTAAACGAAATAATTATAATTTTTCTAAGGCACGTCCATCTTGACCGATAGACACACCAACAGACACAAAATTATGATACCACGGAATTTCACTTCTTTGATTGTACTCAAACCTCGATTTAGACAACACTGGGTTCGATGTAATTAGTGATGTAAAATTGGCCCTTTGATAGTACACAAAACTCCCTTTAACTAAATTAATGTGAAGACCTCCTCTTAAGCGACAAACGCTTCATAATCACACTCCGGTTAAACTTTTTCATAAACGGGAAAACACACTTCCGTTTCAACCGACTTAACGTTCACTTCTGACTTTTAATACTCGTAGCACTCAATTACCGCAAAACGCACGGCGAAAAGTTATATTTCAAATGTCCACCACCAAAGAAGCCACGAATAACGTCCCGTTCTCTTGTTTAAAACTTTTCTCTTTCCTCACAACCGTTCCTTCTTCTTTAACAAAATAATACGCGGTCTTTGAATAGGTAATCCGCACCTGTGTTGTCTTATCGGCGATAAAACGTCCTTTTAATTAGTAGTTCTTAACTACGACACGACCGGAGAAAAACATGAGATAACCTTTACATGAGAATACCTTTATAAGGTTATGCGAAATTATACAAATGCTGCGGTTAATAGGGAAAAAAAGGCGTACCTCGATTTTATCTCTAAATCAGATAATGAAATCTGGGGACGCCTAAAAGAACTACATGTTTATAATAACATAAAGTCTTCCGAAATTCCTTGCCATCTAGATGACGTTAATAAAATAAACGCCGCCTTTGCCAAAATTTGTAATGCTAGTAAGTTGCACAGTTGAACTGGAAAAACTTTCAAATTTCTATAATAATACACCGACCAGCTCAATTGATAATAAATTGGAATTTTTTGGTATTGATGAAGGCATTGTATTACATCATCTTATGAAAATTAAATCAAAATGTATTGGATCTGTTGGTATTAGTCTTAAGATGCTCATTATTTGTTGTCCACTCATTCTGCCAAAGCTTTAGTGATTTGCGACCCATAAGCATCTTACCGGTTTTGTCAAAAGTCAAAATTCTTACTGAACAAATAAATACGCATGTGTCCAACTTCAATGCTTTGCCTGTGACACAGTCGGGGTTTAGACCTGGGCATAGTTGTGTTACATCGTTGCTTAGCATAACAAATGATATCATCAAATCTACCGATCAAGGTAAATTGACAGCATTAATATTGTTAGATTATTCGAAGGCATTCGACACTTTAAACCATAACATTCTTGTAGATGTATTACACCGAACCGGATTTGGCGACAAAGCTTGCTCTTTATTACGTAGTTACCTTACAAACCGTAGGCAGCAGGTTGTCAAAAAGAAAAATGTTTCACATCAACTGTTCACTACATCTGGGGTACCGCAAGGCTCAGTTCTTTGTCCGGTCTTATTTTCACTGTACACTTCCAAATTTCAATTCGCGCTCAAACATCTATCAGCATATCAATATGCAGATGACACACAATTGTTGTACAGTTTCCACGCATCTGATGTTGCTCAAGCAAATGATAATATGAGCTCTGATATTGACTACCTTGTAGAAATATCAGAACTCCACGGTTTAAAAATTAACACTTCTAAGTGTTCTGTTATGTTGTTCGGTCCAAAAAAAGATAGAGAGTTAGTCAAGAACTGCATATCGATTAAAACTCAAAACTCAATAATAAAAATAAAAGAGTGTGCTAAAAACTTGGGATTGTACTTGGACACTGATTTGCGATTTGAAAGACACATCTCGGAAACTTGCCGGAAAGCATACATAAACCTAAAACTAATATTTGGTCATCGACAGTTTCTTAATCGTAAAGTGAGGGCAATGCTGTGTGAAACATTAGTTCTTTCGCAGTTTATACTACTGTGACCAAATCTATGGTCCTTGTTTGAAAAACACAGAAATACATAAAATTCAGAAAATGCAGAACTCATGCCTTCGTCTGATTTTTGGAATAAGGAAGCATGAACACATCTCTCACAAGTTGAAAGAAATTGATTGGCTCAATATGTCGAAAAGGAGATTATTACATTCTGCATCCTTATTTCATAAAATCATATCTACTAAGATGCCTACCTACCTGTATGAAAACATTAAATTCAGTTCTAGTAGTCGACATTACAAATTAATTACCCCTCCACTACATAAAACGCAAATGTTTAAGCGATCTTTTTCATACAACATAGCAAGTGTATATAACAATATTTCCGCGTATATAAAAAGAAAAGAAAAAGGCGCATTTAAACGAAATTATTTTCATTTACTTCTACGCGAGCAAAACAAATGATTATTTTTCTTCCCCTTTTCTTCTTCTTTATTTAGAACCACGACGGATTTATTTATCTCTGTCTCCCTTTCAATATACATATTTTTAAGTTCATTCCACTAATTGTTTTATTTTCTTAGTTTAGGATGGGGTTAAGTGGTAGAGCAGTTCTAGGGTGTCTCACCATAGAACTGAACTTCGCCCCGTTAGATTACGGAACATTGATTTCATTTTTCATTTAATTTTAATTATTTAGTTTATTATCTATTTGAATGTTTATTTTATGTTTATTTCCTTCTGTACTTCCAGTAATCTAATAAATGTCACTTATTATTATTATTGTCGGTGTTTCTTGTGAGAACTCAGGTCTAGCCTGGTTAACTAATCGCACGGATTAAAATCAAGTAACGATTAGTGTCTGTGTCTGTGTCTGGTGAAGTTATGTAGGGTTTATTATTTA